CGTTCACATCGAAAGACGCTGTGCAGGATGCTTTTACAGAAGAGGCGTTGAGGCGCAATTTCGAGTGGAAGGTAAAATATTCTGACAGTAAACAACTACATGTCATATGCAAGCATGATGCAGAGGGTTGTACGTGGCAACTGCGGGCTGCAAATATGAAGAGAAAGGGTGCTTGGGTGATTCGCAAAGCTGAGACGATCCACACATGCTCCTCTTCTATACTTTCCCAAGATCACAGGCAACTAAAAGCAAAGAAGGTTGGGAGAACTATTAAGCACCTTATAGAAGCACAACCAGATATCAAGGTGAAAGCTATCATGGCAGAGGTGAAGGATCGACATTCTTACACGATAAGGTACAAAAAAGCATGGCATGGTAAGCAGAAAGCCATGGCTGAGGTGTATGGTGATTGGGAGGATTCGTATGCTTTACTCCCTAGACTTATGGGAGCAATGGAGGAGTCCAATCCTGGGACTGTTTTCGTCCCAGTATACAACAATGTATACACTGAGGATCAAGTTCGAGTACAGGATAAGCTGATGTTCCATCATCTTTTTTGGGCTTTTAAACCATGCATTGACGGTTTTGGGTTCTGCATACCGGTTATTCAGGTATTTTACCAACTAGTTCCGGTTTTAAATGTTGTATTATTTGCTGTATTCTGCTACTAAATTGATCGCTTGTTTAATTTTTCATTACCGTTTGCATTTGAAGTCCAAGTATTTTGTTAACTCTAAAATGTTTTCCTTGTCGATAAGATCGCGCTGCCGCAAACGGCTCGTTATTTCGACCTCAAACGAATAAGATACGCGCGTTTTAGTTTTTAGTACGCAAAAGTTACTTTAACGATACGATCGCGCTTTGACGTCACTTATCTCACTCGTTTGGACTCGGAATTGGGATCTGGTAAATTCTATGCGATCGTGGTTGATTTTCCCAACTTTTTGTGTTGAGGGAAGATACTGATTCTTGACAAAATGATCCAGAAAATTCATTCGACAAATTAAGTGCGTAGGATAGTTTTTAGACAATACAAACTCAAATAACAACACCTAAAAAGCACCAAAACAACATGGATAGATCACTATTGCAGGATAAAACGATAAATTCACTCATTTGCTTCATTTTGGCCCCCACCTCCACGACGTCCTCGACCCCTTCTTCCCCCCTCCGCCGCTGCTTCTTGGCGGGCTCGCTCAACGGCTGGTCGCGGATTTCTCTTGACCCGAGCCCCAACTGGGGTTACATATGGTGGTGGTGGTGGCTGAGTTGGACCGGTAGCTTAACGAATGATCGGGGGGTTCGGAGTTTGTTGTTGCTGGGTCTGATACATCGAACTTTGTTGCTGATGTTGGAATTGAGAGAACCCATGAGAGAAAGTGTCCCATTCCTGAGATCCTCCACGACTCGATGACCCTCCACCGGCATCCGCTGCAGGTGCCCACTGGTACTCGAACGGTTCAGGGAGCTCGGTTGCTTGAGTGGTACGCACCTCTTCGAACGTAGGCAAAGGCCTGCGTTTGCTCCTTCGTGGGGGCTCAACCGGGGGCACAATGGCTGCATCATCACGGAATGAGGGTCGTGCCGGGGCAGGAACGGGAGGATAGGCCACGACATCCCTCCTTTGCTCTCTGGTGAAACTCAGGAGGTTATTCATAAGTCGGGTCAACCAAGTAGTCTTCCGCTCATCCATGGTTGGAGCACTTTCGAGAGTGTACTTCGCGTGTTCCAAACCATCAACCTAAGGAAAGCACAAAATATATCAAATTAACTAAACCTTAAAATAAATATATTTTAGAATGAGGGAGATTAGGATGACTTACCAACGAACCCATCACAGCACCTTGCTTTGACACCCATCTCAGGGTGAACTTCCGATACCACTGCATGTACCCATCGTGGTAGCCCATCGGTCTCGTCTCCGGCATCCCTTGCACCACCCATTGAGATCGATTCTCCCAGATGTTGATGTAGAATCCATGCTTTAGCTGCCAGTTCTTTGTACTGTTTCGGAGGTCCATAGCATGTAGCTCCCTGAAACCTGCTGGCGGGTCTTGTGGAATTGGTTGCTCCATTCGATATTGCCTCAGGGATCGATCAGGTAGGTGCCATTCCACAATGTGCCAGCAGATCAATGGCACCTTGCACAACCACGTCTCGTGATCCAGAGGGTGCCTAAGATGATGCAGCTCAACCACTTCACGTGGATATGGATCCCATATAACCTATATTCATTCAAAAATTCGGAATTAACGACCATTTACTTTGATAAAATTGAACTTGTTCAAATATGGACAAAACATGATTACCTGATTCCACCATGGTTTATCTAACTCAGAACGATAAAACAGTAACGAATGCTCAGGTTGATGGTCATTCGTATTTGCTCCTATCCACCTTGTAAGTAAAAGTACGGAATCAATTTAATTGAAATATCGCTAAGCATATAATAAATTAAATTGGTCTAAGTACGGAATAAATTCAATTTAAATCTAGTTAAGCATGTAATCAAAATTAAATTGGGCTGAGTACGGAATAAATTTAATTTAAATCTAGCTAATGTAATCAAATTTAAATTGGGCTAAGTACGGAATAAATTCAATTTAAATCTAGCTCAAGCATGTAATGAAATTTAAATTGGGCTAAGTACGAAATAAACTTACTTGACACCGTAGGGGAGATTTTGCAGAAGGTTGAGCTCATCATCGTTTCTCCGGTATGGACGTGGGCCGAGAGGTGCGAACATTGGAAGATGCTCCCATACCCACAGTTGAACGATGAACATCGCAGCACCAGCTTGCTTTGCCCCAACCTTTGAGCAAGTACACAGCTCCCGGCTTTCAGTCGAGCATATTGATAACCTCTAACAAAGTTCGAGTATATTCGTTCCTCTCCTCATACACGTTTCATATCTCTTTCATTCTCTTTACCCTCGCTTCCATTCACCGGTCTCTTGCAGTGGTGCCCGCTATAACGAATGTAGGCAAAAGATTGAACTAGCTTGGCTCTAGCCTACAAGGGGTCGCTATAACTGTACCCGGGTTCCCTCCAGCTCTGCCGCGGCTGTGCTTGAGTAAGCGGTGCTCCCTTTGTTCGTCTGTCGTAGCTAACTAAGCGTTTGTTTGCCCTTTAAGTCTATGGTTTGGAGAGAAATTCCGGAAAGATCGAAACTAGGCTATGAAGTACGCCCGCTAGCACGGCCGATCCCCAACTCTTCTCTCCAATTGCATCCCAGTCACCGGTGAGCAATGGCAACCATATGCCTTGAATCCACCGGTTGGACTTGTCGGGGAACAAAAATCCACCCACCAAACCGATGAGGTAGATGCGGGCGTAGCGCTCGACTTGTTCTTCCGGTGTCTCGTCATTGATTTCCACCTCTTGCTGGATGTGAGATACCAGCCACGGGACCGACACTTGCCCCGCATTCAACGGTGGATGCCCCCGTCCTTGATTTGATGTGGTGGTCGGCATGTCGAAGCCCAAACGATCACGGATGAGCGGCCCCCAACCTCCTCCGGGTTTGGTCGTGGAACCAATGATGGCATCTCCAGATATAGGAAGCCCGGTGAGGATCGCCACGTCTTTGAGGGTGATCGTCATTTCCCCCTCCGGAAGGTGGAATGTATGGGTTTCGGGACGCCATCGTTCCGCCATTGCCGTAAGCAGATCGTTGTCGATCTCGATCCGCAAGAAATGGCGCAACATTCCCAAACCGGTCCTCGCTATATAGGGCTCCAACCTTGGATGCCAAGCGGGCAAGTTATTGGTCCCTTTATGAACCACGGGAACAAGAGATTCCTAAAAAAAATAGGAAAAACATCAATTTATTAGATTAAATAAAGCAAAATAAAACATTAGAAAATAATAAAATAAAGCAAGTCAGTTCATCAAATTACCAGATTATTATCCCAAATGGCACGGGAGCGATGAGCTTCTTGATCGGTTAAGAGACTCGCATCCCTTGGGCCATAATGGATATACAATCGAGGATCGTATATCTCGGCACCCATCTATAAAAAAGTAATGAAATCAGAGATTGTTTTGATAAAAAAAATCAAATTGTTTCGATTAAAAAAAATCATAAACCAAAAACCTACACGAAGAGCCTCTTCGTCCATTATTGGCGGAAGCCGGACAGAGGTTCGACGGGTTTAGGTTTGTAAGGGACGGGAACTTAGGGGGACGGGGGCTTTAGGGTCAAACTCTAGTAATTCTTTCTGATGTGGAAGATCGGACTTAACCGCAACCACAGAGCATACTTAGAACGAGACTAGAGCGGATAAATTGAGGGAGAAGAAGTGAAATGTTTGTGGTGTGAGTTGAAAGTGAAAGGGGAAGGGTTATTTATAGTTGGGGGAAGGGGGGAAGGGATCTGCCGAGAATTGAATTCTCCCAGCCTTCACCGCGTCCGTCAGAAACGGTGAAGGCACCGCGTTTCTCGAACACGGTGATGAGGCGCGGATCGAGCGACGTGGCTCAGCGTGAGGCGTCGGATCTGGAAAGAAAACCACGATCCGCGCCTCACCGCATCCTACGGACACGGTGAACGCGCCAGCGACGCGGATCGCTGACGCAAACAAACACGGGTATTCACCGTGTTTGTCTAACGCGGTGAATACCCCGCGTTAGTCCACGTCAGCGCCTTCACCGTGGAAGTCTAAAACGGTGAAGGCTTCACCGTTTTTTTTTTAAAACGGTGAGGTATTCACCGTTCTTAACAAACGCGGTGAACCCTTCACCGTTTTAGTTTGAAACGGCGAATACATCACCGTTTTAGTTTAAAACGGTGAAGTATTCACCGTTTTGGTCAAAAGCGGTGATGACCTTCAACGCTTTTGTCTAAAACGGTGATGCTCAAACATGTGTACTTTTGGAATTTTTTTTATAACTTATGTATTTTGGGAATTTTTTTTAAGAACTAGTGTACTTTGGGATTTTTTCCTCTTCTTGTCTAGCTATCAACAACCAAAAGAAAAAAAGAACGATTTATTTTCTCTCCACTTCGTCTTCTTTCCTCTGAAACCAGAAACAAAATTAACCCCTTCTTCGCCTCCTCGTTCTCCCTTCCCTCTCTTTCCTCTCGTTCTACCCTAAGATAAGAGATGAAAAGACAGACGGCGGCAATGATGAGAAACAACAACGATTGACGCCGGCCGACGAAGGTAAGCGGTGGTTTATTTGGCTTGCATGTCGAGTTTGGGGTTCGATCTTGGTAATAACTTTGGGTTCTGATTGTGTTTTTTTGTGATTTCGCTTTATAGGGGTTTCGGGGGTTTTCGATCATGATGAAGGGAAGCAGCGGGAACGAAAGGAAGAAGAGGGAAGCAGCGGGAACGAAAGGCAGCAAGGGAATAATTGCAGCTTAGGTGAGGTTTTTTGAGTTTTCTGATTGCGATCGAGGGAGAACACAGTCGCCGGCGGCCAAGGTTCTCTGGCGGCGACGAGGAGAGAAGGAGAAAAAAGAGTCGACGGCACTCTGGTTCTGACGGCGACGAGGGAAGCCCAGAAAAGACTGGTGGATGGGGCTTCGCTTGGTAAGTTTTCTTGACGGTTTAGAGGCCGATTTAGTTTAGGGATTGGGACCATATGTTGCAGTTATTATGATTATGATCAATGCAATCAAAAGCGCGATTCTAACTGTAAACGTTTTGGTGATTTAGAAGCTTAAAATCGTAAGCTTTTAAGCTTTAAAACGTAGATTTTGACTACACTTGTAAGGAAAAAGCACGGTTCTACATAGAAGCGTTTTGGTGATCTTGAAAAGGAAAAGCGTAAGCTTTTAAGATTTAAAGCGCGATTTTGACTGCATTGATTGTGATGATCCGATTTATGTGTGAGTTATGTGATGTTGGGTTTGATTCAGGAATTGGCGGTTTTGGATGTGAATCTGGTTTTGAGATTGGGATTTGATTATAGGATTGGGTCTGGAAATTTTGTGGTGCGTGCCGAGTGTTGGGATGAAATTATGTGTAGTTAGGGGGTCTGTTTAAGGATGGAATTATGGTGTTTTGTATAATGGTTTGGGGTTGAAAATAGTGTAGATTAGAGGGGTGCCCTTAAAACAAAACAAAAACATTTCAAAATATCTTCCTAAGTTCGAGTCTGGTTGGTTTAAGCTGTTAATTCTAGTTTATATAATCTGATTTGGTAAAGTGAGGAGCTTAGCTCAAATATGCTAGTGAAGGTAACACAAAGAATGGCGAAACAGTTGTTAAAAGCAAACATGAGCATGTTTAATAATATAGGTACTGTGTAATCAATGAAGAAGTAAAACACGAGCATATTAGTATATATAGTTCTAGTTTTGATTACAATATACAGGAACTTTAAAAAAATATACCCACATGTTTGGATTAAAAAAAACAGCTTTGATATAATTACAACATACATGATTTTGTGGTTATAGTAGAATTGTTGATTCGTGTCTATTTGTACATGTTTTGCCCCGTTTTACTTAGGTGTTTGTGCCAAATTTGCTCCTAAAAGGTTGGTTTTACGCTAGGTTCCTCGTGTTTGAGTGTGTTTCAGGATTCAATAGTTGAAACCAGCCTCGGAGTCGAAAGTTGGGCAAAAATGATTGAAAACCGGGAGAAGAGGTGAAAAAGGGCTAGTTCACGGCTTTCCCGGGAAGTTCATCGCGAGGCGTCCAGAGCCAAAACGAAGGTTACAGACGCATGGTGAGTTCAAGGTCTCTAAGACCGTGAACAGAAGTGAACGATGCGACGCGTTTTGGCGCACGCTTGAAGTTCACGGACGCATTTCGTGGTTCACGGTCGTGAACTCAGGCCGCGAACTAAGCTCGTCTTTGGTTTAAATGATGAGCTGAAAGGAGGAGAGAGGGAAGAGCCCATTTTGTGAGAGAAGCCTTCTTCTGAATTCTAGAGTTGAGTGAGGGAGTAAGTCAACTACCGATTGTCTAAACCGAGAGGGTCGAGTGACACGACCTCTCATGCTTACCTCTGTTTAGCAATTGAGATTGTGGTCTCCGACCATATATGCATCCCTCGACGGTTCGCAATTACCATGCCCAAAGCAATCGTTCCAATGCACATATCATGGTAACAGTTAGGAGGAAGCGACATTCGAGTGATCATTCCACAAAAGAGTTTTCAAAACCAATTACCGTTGTTTTCTTTCATTTCAATTAGCAAACCATTAAACCAAAACTTTGTTGCTAGATAATTATTTCAACAACCGAAGTAGGGGTAGATGACCGACCCGGGTCGATATCTAAATACTTGCCCTATACTGCACCTTACTAGAGTTTAAAAACTTGGGCTCTAGTTGGAATTTTATTGTAGTGTAGTTTCGAGCGAGTCAATTGTCAACCTGTAGTTTGCTTGGATGCCGATTAGTTAGAAACCATTTTGTTAAAGAAAGGTAGAAGTAGAGATGATAAAAAGGAGATGATGATAGAAAGGTGGATGGAATGTAGTTTTACACTCGCCTATCTTTTTAATTTGGGGAAGGGATGTTGCTGCTTTTCCTCTCGTTCCTGCTACTTTTTCTTTCTGTAATTTGCTATTATCGTGTGTGTTTTTTGCTTCTTGTATTGTTGTGGTGTTGGTGAAGGGTTTCCTAGAATTTGCACTCTTTCTCTTCTCTTTGCTTGTTTGTTGGTGTCTAGGAGGAATAAGATGAAGTGTGAATGGATTTTGCATGAGTTCCTTTGTTCTTTGAGTTTTGTAGATCATACAAGAAAGAATGTGTAGAGGATTTTTCTAAGAGGGAAGCTGGAGTGGAACCGTAGGGAGGAAGAAGAAGAAGGAAGTCTCTCTTTTTCAACCCCCTTTTGGGCAGCAGCTCGGGGTGTTTATTTATAGAGAGATGGCAGATTGTTCCCCAAGTTTGCAATAGTACTGGTTTTGGTTAGATCAGGTTTGGATCGTCGGTTAGACCAGGTCTAGCTATATGGTTTTGATTTTGGCTTCGGTTAGAGTTGACTAGGCGTTGACTGTTGACATTTTTGTTTGGTTTTGATTTGGGCCCAATTTCTTTTTAAACATTCTTGTGATTACTATTGTAATCAGTTGTAATGTAAATTTTTGTACTAATTGTAATAGTAATTTATGTTTATGGTAATTGCACTTGTAAATTATAATTATCTTGTAATTTTGATTTATATTTGATGTAATTATAATTTATTTGAATAAGATGATTATTGTTTGTCCTTGTCTGCTATTATTTCAAAATCGAGCTCCAATCCTCGTTAGATCCAAAGTTTTAGAAACCAATTCAAAGATCAATCACACAATTGTTAAATCCCCTAATTTGTCAAACCAAAGCAAAACATCGCAATTCTCACTATCAATTGTATTGATCGAGAATTGCTATTGCTTAATCTCGTCAAGTTATGGCAAACAAGACTCATTCCCAACAAATAAATACATTTTAGTTAGGTCATTCAAGATTCGCTATTTAATTAAATATGTATTTTAGCCCGGACAAAAAGTGGTGTCTATAATGACGATGGCTACGAGGCGATCTAGTGACATGGAGACTAACGATGATGGCGACCGAGATCCAGATAGAGGAGTGTGGAACTAGGTCGGTTCGTTGCTTTCTGTCGGTGGCGGCCAACAAGGGTCGAAACTCACTTGGATGGAGTCAGCGATGATGACAGCGACGGCGATGGAGACAGAGTTGGAGGCCTAAATGAACATCGACCCTCCTGATGACGGCAACCGTGAATGATTGGGCATTGATGACCCACGACGGAATGGACTTCGCCTAGGTCGACTGTGCTCAGCGGAATAACATCGCTGATGAACAAAACAAGTCAACGGGATGAACTTCGTTGGTGCAAGGAAGACTAGCTGAATATACTGCTCTGATAGCATGTAGAATTTGATAACGCGGAATCGAAAGAACATAAGAGACACCAGATTTTACGTGGTATCCTCGATCGATTGATCGAGACTAATCCACGGTGAGCTCGAAATAGCTCACTGCTGATGTTTTATTAAACAACTACATTTTGACGGCTTGCTTACGACAGGTTCGTAGCTAAACTTATTTAAAGATAGACTTAAGGTTAAAACGTTAATAACAACCAAATTTCTTTCTTTTACATGGACAAGAAAACAAGATACTTCGAGGACAAAAAATTAATTACTTGACTAAATAATTAATATCCTCAATACTTTTAATCTATAAATGTTTGGTATATCAATAAACTCACGCTTCACAATCTACAATCTCGCAAGTTTTTTTGGAGCTTTGTTCCCTTTTTTTTTTTTTTGTTTTGAAACTTTGAGCCTTTTCCAATGGCGTGGGTAAAATGTTCCAAGTGTCGTCGTTGATCTGCAAGGAAAAGACAGAAAGCCGGATGTCATTTTCACCATTAACCATAATCCAGTCCATCCTTTGCCGTCCATATTATAATATCATCATTAATAACTAGTAAGCCTGCTTTTACAGAAGAAAATAAAAGAAACAATGATGGATATGATATAGGCCTGCAATACCAGCAAGGAAATCGTCAACCCATGGTCTATACATATTACAAAGCTTCTTGTTTCCTCTCCATTTCTTTCCACTCTGTCTTTTACCCTCGTTTTAGTTTCATAAGCCCTGGAAAAAAAAAATGGAGCTGGCGGCCTCCTCATTCTCCTCCGTGATGATTTTTCTCCTTCTCTTAGTTTCCCCACTTAATATTATCATAATGATCTCCTTATCCTCCAACGCCGTCGCCGATGCGGCTGTAAGGGGCGGTTGCCAAGGGAATCTTGGGGAGTGCAGAGGTAGCATTGTCTACGAGGAGGCGGAGGATTTCACCGGGAGGCGGATACTGCAGCTGGCCGGGGGCGCAGGATTTATAAGTTACGATGCTCTGAAGAGGAATACGGTGCCGTGTTCCATGAGAGGGGCGTCTTACTACAACTGTCAGGCTGGGGCGGAGGCCAATCCTTATACCCGTGGTTGCAGCGCCATTACTCGTTGTCGCAGTTGAAGGGGGAAATACTTGGCAAGCTAAGTGTTTTTTTTTTTTTTTCTTCTTCATTCCCATGAATATATAATGTAACACTTCGTCTTTTGAGTTAAGGTTTAGCCTAGAATGATTACATGGTTGGTTCACTGGTTAGGTATGCAAACTTGAACCTGATCAAAATTCAAATCAAGATGTAAAATGACAACGATCACAGATACGCTTCATCAACAAATGTTGTGATTACCAACTAACGTGGAGATGAAGGATTAATTAGGTAAATGCAATTATTAAGACCATCATTAAAGCTGCATCAATTTAGTTATTGATATCTTTTACCTATCCCACTGGTCGGATAAATTTCACTTTGATTTATGTAATTTATGTTTATTAATTATTTATGTTATAAATGATTTGAGATGTTTCATAGTTCATTATATGATTTGAAAGCAATATTTATGGTACTCATTGTTTGTGGTTGTGGATTTGTTAATATGAACTTACTGGTGGTAGTGGTGACAATTTATGATTCGATCCGCGTGATCTGACCTACTCCGACTTGTTTGGAGCTACGGGTACAGTAGCATATAACTGAGCATAAATATTGCTTTTGATTTGTCCGTCCCGTTTATGACCTGTTCTATCATGATTTGCATCAATATTCGTGTGTATTTATCTTTTTTTGACCTTTCTAAAATCATATTTTCATCTCAAATAAATTTTACGACATTATTTTTCAATTATTATTTTTATAACGGTGATATAGGTTTAGTTTTTGGGGTAGGTACTACTTAAGATATTTGAACCTAAAACTATCTTTCAACAATTTAACCTGAATTATTCCTCTACTATATTGCTCGTTAATTTATGAAGTATTTTCTATACGAGTTATTGTAAAAGAGTTATGTATCGACGTTATTTTTACAAACAACATATAAGAACGTGTTGACTCGCCCTACCCCGCACTTAGTGCAGGCTGGGTATGGGTATTGAGACGCCCCACCCCATCCCATTGTCATCGCTAAACTTACTATTGTCGATATATATTTTCATATTTTAGAAGAAATTTTTATACTTCTTATTGTTACCATTTATGGTTTAAGAGGTATTTATTCATTAGATTCGATATTATTAACTTGATTTTCTATTATCTCCATACGAAACTAGGACAATATGTATTGAACTAAAAACTTCTAAGGTACGTATTAGCCTACTGGTAACTTGAAGGAATTGAATTCAACCTTTGTGGTTAACAATAATCCTAAAAGGTAATAACTAAGAAATCATAAATAGTCAAATGTTAATTCATCGGTAACTACACTATTTATCTCCAAAAAATAGTTTGAAATTTTCCAAAAATACCATCCATTTTCGAAAAATTCCAAAAATATCACCGTTTTCCAAAAACGTGAACCCATATGGCGGTTTATACGGAAATCGCAGGGGGTGCCGCAGTTGTTCCTGCCAGCTGAAAACCGCATGGGCTCGCCGGTGTCAAATTGACCGTGCACCACCTCAGAAATTCAGGGCAAAACAACCACCCCACCCCGCGGTTTCCCTATGAATTTTTTTTCTAATACTACAAACGTACTTAACTTTGAGCTCGGTTATCCGATCGTTGCAAAAGTAAATTTTATTCCGCATAACTTTTTAAGGAATAAAACTTATATCATAGCTATTTTTTTCAGAATGTATGTGGATTTGTGAAAAGTAAAGCCAAATTTATACCCAAAACCCCTTATATTCAAAAATATTTCTTATTTTGAAAATTCCTTCCAAGTAAAACTTGTAGTTCATAAATACACTAAATAAAATTTTTTGATGATGTTCGACTTCCGGAGCACAAAGTTATTACATTTCAAAGTTTGGCAAAATTGAAAACAATTGCTCGTTCAGGATAGCAAACAGCATTTTTTCGGGACCAATACGGGACCAAACCACCTACGGCAATTTGCGGCTTGCAAGATCTCGAAAAATTATGCGGAATAAAATATTTTTCAGGTACACTCGGATACCCGAGCGCAAAATTACGCTCGTTTGAAGTTTTAGAAAAACAAAATCATAGGCAAACCGCAGAGTGGGTGGCAGTTTTGCCTTGGATCGCTGAGGTGACGCACTATCAATCTAACCGCGGTCATCCCATGTGATTTTCAGCCAGCAGGAACGAAAACCGTGGCACCCCCTGCGGTTTTCGTATAAACCGCCATATGGGGCTACGGTTTTTGGGAAATAGTGGTATTTTTGGAATTTTTCGAAAATGTAAGGTACTTTGGAAATATTAGCTTTTTTATGGTATTTCTGGTAAATTTTCAAAATAGTTGTGGTTGCTAATAACCGACTTTGGCTTATGAGTATAGTTCAAAACGTATTATAATGAAAAGTCTCCGATTGATAGGAAACGGGCTTGGGTTGATTTTTTCAAAAGAAAATTAAGCCACATAGGCAGCACGTGGACCAATTAAAAGAAGCGGTATCGGTGCCACATTTTTTACAGCGGCACTGTAGTATTGACCTTGGGATTAATGAAAGTTGTAATCTTCCTCTTCGATATGTAATTCATTCTCACTTCGGCCATCAAACCTTCTTTTATGGCCATCAAATCGTGTCCGTCACTCAGTTCATCTCAGTAGGGAGTTGCCGCAAACCAGACGCCAGGTTATTATATCCACCGATTCTTCATGCGACTCCGACCAAAAACAGAACGACAAGCTTGGGAGCAATACTTGAGGAGCTTTTAGGATTTTGTCGGAAGTTCTACCACCCCTCTGTCACCGTGAATCCAGGTCACCAACGTAGCCGTTATTTCTATCACCCTCCTTCTCTGTGAATCGATGGTCACCCACCCAGTCTTTTTATCTTCCTCTTATCGCCAGAAGAAAAAAGACAAAGTTTATCTTGCTCTGTGGCTTGATGAGGGTAGAGAGAAGGGGGGTGGGAGTGAGACCGTTGTTTATTTTGTGGATTTGCTGACCTATTTTTTCCGTTGAATTTGATGACCTATTTTAAGATTTGAGAGTGAAAATTATACATGCAGATTTTTGTCTTGCTCATCTTGGTGTGAGTCTCGAGATGGGAGAGGAAAGTGGTGGAGAGAGAGAAGAAATTTCTAGATTAGTGGTGTTAGGGAAAATAGGCGGAGAGATAAGGGGAAGTTGCAGAAAATGTGAAAGAAAGAATTAAAATAATAAGATTTATTTTATTGGACATTTAAAAAATTAAATTGGATTATTTAATGACCTAAAAAACTAATACGTTTGTAGCAACAAACTCTACAAAATTAAACAAGTGAAAAAATAGAGGTCACCTTATGTCTGTTCGGTTATCAATCGAGTTTATACTCCTGATCAAAGCACTAATTTAAAAGTTATCCGGTTAACCAAAGAAAATAAAAAAAAACGATTCGGTATTTTAGTTACTCTGACAGATATAAACAATGAGATTCGCGATAAGCAAAAATTGCTAAACAATTAATCGAGAACTGACTAAACAATTACGGTTATAACCAATGCAAACCAATTATCATCCCTAGGAGACGTTCGTCCGTGGAACTTTTTTGGGTAAGTTTTTTATTTATTTACAATCCCCTGTATAATTTTGTTAGCAACTCTTAGCTGAAATTACATTAAGTCAACCAAGCAGTCTTAGACCTCAGCAGATACAACATCGAGTATGCAATTTGTGGACCTTTCAACCCAACAAGAATCCCAAGCCATCTTAATATGAGCTAAGGTATGGGCCACTTTGTTTGTCTGTCGATGCACAAAAGCCCGTCGTGTTGCACCCTCTTGATTGCCTAGCAATCTTCTCCAATTTATTGGGTAAATTTGCTTATGAGTTTATGTTGCTTTTTTATTTGATTTTTTGGTCGTTGTTTTGGTACAGGTTAGGGAGAGGAGATTTAGGTGATATCTTTCATCTTCTGGTTTGTGTTGGTGTTGGGTTTAGTGGTACTATTTATCTGGTTGGTTTTCTTGTGTGATTTTGGTGGTAGCAATATTTAGGTGCTTGGTCTACAAATCTCAGTTTCGTGTTAGGTATGACTATCATTAAGTGCATATATATTACGTATACATGCATTTTATTTAACATATTTTTTTTTATACATTGTTTGGTATTTTCTAACTCCATCAATAAATTACGTCAAATATTTTCCTCAATTATTCATCAAAAACTTTCCAAAGAAAATAATAAACTTAAAGGGTCCAAAATAAGTTTACTCACATAACACACATACTTCAAAGTTGAGTACACTCATACAAAATATCAAACTCTTCCTGCCAATGGACGGGCCCTGCGCTAGTGTATATTAGTGGGATATGTAGTGTGGGATAGGCTTCTCAACAGAGCGGATCGGGGTCGGATGCACACCCCATCTTTGTGCATTACCATTGATGATTTTTCATGTCCCTGTCTCTGCAGACTAAACGAGGGAACATGTGCTGGAAATTTGTTTGAACCGAACTAACCAAGTCAAACTGATTTTGTGTTGGACCAACCAATCGGTTTGGGATTTGACCGATCGAACCAATATTTTAATTTCATGAAGAGACACATTCCTTTGTCCTAGTGGTGGTTTCATTTTATTATGGATAAGGATGAAACTTATGGATAAGGATGTCCTTACGGATAAGAACGATTCTTATGGATAAACGCAAACTTACGTATGAATAAAGACAACCTTTCATGAAACAATGTGTGGATTCAGCTCCTATAAGTATATGTGGGGGGTAGATGCTGCCACATACGATCAAACATATTCTTCTTCTTTTTTCTTCCAAAAGCTTCTATATATGATTTAGTATTCTTAATCCTAGAACCTAAAGTGGTGATAGTTTTATCCTACCAAGAAATTTTCTGTAACCCAAAACTTTGGAGAGGGTGAAAATATTCTTTAAAAAAAGTGAACGTAGTTCACGACTCTATTATAATATTGGACACCCAGTCTTGGGCTATCGTGCATACACCTTCGTCTCAAAAGTGCCAACAATCATAAGGAATATTTTCCAATACGCTAGCTTGAACTAGTCTTTACAAGAAACCAGTTCCGGTCTATGGAAATCTTAAGAAATTTTAATGATGATAATTTTTGTCGATGAAAGTAGAAGATGTGTTTTCTTCGTACTTGCTCAAGGTGTATTCTTTGTGTGAAGGTAACTTGGAAGAGGAAGGAGACAAAGATGAGTAAGAAGAAGGCTTCGTAAAATAAGAAAATAGAGAATGAGAATTACCTTTGTGCAAGTCTCATACTCAATGGTTTAATTTGTCTGAATCTCAATTTAATATTTACAAAGTCTTAGACAAATTTTGCTTTGTGTAAGTGATTTGATGGTGTGACTTTGTCTAGTGGTTTATTTTAAACCAAGGAGACAAATGTGCGTGTATATAATGTTTGATGATTCTAGTAATGTAATCATCATATATTTGTATGTAGACAATAAGCATTTTTGGGACCATTTAAAGATAAGTTGAACTTAACTAACGCACCGTTCACTTCCCATTTCGTTTTTTGTGATTTTGGCAATAGAAAACGAAATCTGGAGAAAATGATGTTGCCATTTTTTGAAAAACGATTCCTGAAAACCTGTTTTGCTGAAAAAACAATTTGAAACTGGAAATTGCAATCTTAAAATAAAAACTTGTTTAGTTGGTTACTAGACCTGAAAATGAGAGTCTGTTTAATTTCCTGACACTAATACATACTTCAATATCAAATAATTAGAAGTACAATCACAAATGTCAAAGGAGTCCACCTTGAAAATCATCCCACAACTTGTCTGCTATTCCATCACGTCGAATTTCCATTTGTCGTATTCGACTTGAACTCATATTGTACTCTTCTCTTTCTAGTCCTCCTTGCACTCCATTTACTCCACCCTCCATATCATCTAAAACCTTCATACATTCTGTCATGATATATAGGTCCTTGTCCTGCGAAGATACTTCATTCATTTGGACTTTCACAGAAGATGCAGCAGTTTTGGCATCATGCCTATCATTCTTTATTTTAGACTCCTCCGCCATGCTAATTATTTCCATTTCTATCGCAGTTGAATAGGTAGATTGTTTTGCTTTCCTCTTCTTGCTTTGCCCTTTCCTTCCTTAGCATAATCTGTAGCAAGAACAAAACCTTCATCGTTGTTCTCTCTACTTTGTCCACCACTACTATCTGAGACTTCTTGAGTAGAGACAAAAGCATTGGCTCCAGAAGCAGTAGTGTCGTCAAATATGATGCAAAAATTGTTGTATTCCGGACAACCATACTTCCTATAGCCGGTACAACCTTTTATAGACTGGAAAATTACAACCCGACCCGTTGACCCGAACCAAAACCGGCCAAAAAGTAGATATTTTTATAACCAGAAATCCAAATGACCCGAACCCAATAACCAGTGATTTTTTTGGGCGGGTTCGGTGGGTTAGCGGGTCAACCCGTTAGACCCGCTCCATTTTATATATCACTCCCAAAATGATAAAATCACTTATAGATTGGTGAGATGTTTAAAAAAACACAAGTATTTAAATGACATGTTTGGAGTTTAAGGATAATCAAATATCATGTGTTTCTTGTAGTAGTATTACTCTTGTGATTGTTTATAATGACGATTTGCGCAATTTGTATTTCATTTCATTAGCATGGGAGAATTTGAGAATATGTTAATTATTGACATGTATTAGGTAAACTATTCTTATGCATATGTGAAAATTTGTGTTTTTTGAGAAAATATGAAACATGTTTGATATTGTTTCTGAGAGCACTCATAACCCGAAACGACCTGTAACCCGACCCGAAACCGAATGGGTTGGGTCGATATTTGACCCAAAGTAAGCCAACCAAACATGACCCGACCCATAACCGGAATTCCTCACCCAAAATTACCGAACCCGACCTGATTGCCAGGTCTGTCCTTTTATACCCTACACATGAACGTTCTAATCAATTCTAAGTTCAAAATTGAAACACATATTGATAGAATTGAACGAAATGTTCAATTACTACTTTATCCATGTCTCCCAATGATCCTCAGAAGCGCCCACCTTTCCTGTTGCAACAATATAACTAACTCCCGTCTCACTAACTCGCCTTCTTCTAAGTAGGTTAAATTTGTTCTTTATTTGCTCATCGGTATAGTATCGGTTAAACTTACTCAATATACCATTTTTTATGCTGGATCATCCTAACTTCGTGAATGTAGAAGTAATCTTGTTACCCTTTCCCTCTACCACCACACAATCATTACTATTGACAACTTCATTATTCTTCATGATTCAAACTAGACAACAAAGAACAATCACGATATTATAACCAACAAACACAACAATCAACAACCACAACGAACACAACAATCAACAACAAAACCATTATAACTATCCCTACTCCATAATCAAATGAAATCCCAACAAAAGCACTCAACAAATAATACACAAAATACAATCAGCCATCAAATAAATTAGAAAAACAAAAAAAAAAGGATAATAGGCGACTTACTAATCGGGTTGTGGCAGGAGGAGAGATGCAGGACGGAGTGGGTTTGATGAGGTGCGACGAGGAGCGCCTCTGGCCGCCATTCGTGTCGTTGTCCTCGTTCACTAGGGAGTTAGGTGGGCGAGTTCCGGTGTCGAGAGGAGAAGACAACGCGGGACTAGCCAGGAGAAGATTGTCGCCACGTGGTCGCTTGGAGAAGAAGTCTGGCAGCCTTGGTGATGGTCCTGGAGAAGAAGTCTGGCAGCCTTGGTGATGGTCCTGGAGGACGGATAAGATGGTGCAGCAGCTGCTGTTGGAGGCGTCTCGAGTAGGGAGGCCGCTGGGTAGGGTTTCGGATGAGAAGGGAATCGGGTGGGGTTGGGAGATGAGAAGAGAGGATTTTTGTTGTTTTAATTCAAATGCAAAAAATTAGTAAAAAAAGAGGTAGCTAGGACTCGAAGACCAGACCTCATTAATGAAAACAGAGAGAAAACCCGTCCTCCCCTTTTCTGGAAAACAAATTTTTTTCGTTTTCGTCAGATGGCTCTTTTTCTTGTCATTTGGTTGTCATTAATGAAACGAAAACCAAAATGAACTCGTTTTCATATTTTTGTGTTGACACATAACAGAAAATAGAAAATGAAATTGAAAATGAACATGAAAGAGTAAGCGCGAGCAATTCTTTCGGAGCGGGAAAAACCGATTCTTTGATGCGAGAGGTAGGGTTTCGCGATGGCGACGGCTGTGACGGCCACAAAGGCGGCTCACGTCGACAAACCACCGGACAGCTTAAGTGGTAGTCGCCGCCAAACTGAGCTTTCCTCTTCCCCAAATCAGAAGAATGCGAGAGAGGCAATCCAACCCAAGAAAAAGGTCTGATCCCTAAACCTTGACCAGATGGTTGTGGACGTGGAGCTAGCGGATACGACGGCGGATGTGACGGAGGAGACGATGGTGGCTATGGATACAGAGGCTAACCATGACGCCAAACCCAAAGCCTGGACTTGGCAAGGAGGAGGGCGAATGTTTAGCTAAATCGTTCGAAGGGATACCTGGTTTGTTGAAGATTCGGAAACGGAGGATGTTTCCCAGGATGAAAAGGAAGAAGATGACCAGCCGGGGGAAGGTGATCAGGACCCCCATTGTCCTACTATCCCGTTCACTGCTGCAGAGAAGATACGTTGGCGAAGGGAATGGTGATCGGCTCTGGTCGTTAAGCGCTTAGGTCGAAACGTCCCGTACTTACCCCTCGCACGCCGCCTAAATAGTCTTTGGGCACGACATGGGGAGCTGCAAATCTCTGACTTGAAGAACGGGTGCTATCTTGTGCGGTTACGTCATCGGGAAGATTATGACCTGGCGGTCAATAGTGGTCCATGGTTGTTGGGGAACACGTATCTTACTGTGTCTAGGTGGTATAAGGGCTTCAATCCTTGGAAATTGGAGGCAAAGTCTGCCATGGTTTGGGTCCAGTTATCCGAGCTCCCCATCGAGTTTATAAACAAAGAAGCGGTGATGAAAATTACTAGCTTCATTGGAGCTCCTATTAAGGTGGACCGAGCTACGGAGACCGATGATAGAGGTAAATTTGCCAGGGTATGTGTCAAAGTGGATTTGACCAAACCTCTACTCTCCCAATATAAAATTGAAGGTGAGGAGTATATCATACAGTATGAGGGTTTGGAGAACCTGTGCACTATATGTGGCACATATGGGAGGCTGATGGCGAAGTGTGGCTGCCAAGATATGGCCCAGGAAGACCAAACTGCAACACCATAGGTGGTTCCGGAGACCCCAGCAACGGAGAGTAAGACGAATGGCCAATTGTATGGGGAGTGGATGATCGTAAAGAAAAAAGAGTGGGGGGTACCCACAAACCGCACAGGTAGTAAATCTTTTGCTGAGCAATCAAGTGGTGGACGAGATAAGGTGGAGTTAGGGAATAATTTTACTGTGTTGCATGGGGACGTGGAGGTAACAGCACCTCAACGTGAAGTCCATGCAAGTAAAAGTGCCAAGGGGAAACATGACTTGTCGGATGGGGGTCGTAAGACCAGTAATGGCCAGAAGAAGGGGGCCGATCAGTCGGGTCAGAAGATGGGTGGAGTCGAGAAGAACAAGAAAGAGGGTAAAAATAAAGATTATGTTAAGGGGATGGAAAATAGAAGTGCTGAGGTAAAACAGAAGGAAGGAGGAGTAGCTGCAGGGTTGGAAGGAGGTGGTGGATCGGAAATTAGACGGGATCAAACAAACAAGAAGCTGAAAGGTGTGGGGAACCTATCCCCTCCAGGTCATAGATGAAAATCCTGAGTTATAACTTTCGTGGATTGGGGAATACACGGTCAGTTAATTCCCTGAAGTCGCTACGACGGCTGTCCCCAAATGTCGTTTTCTTAATAGAAACGAAACAGACCAAAAGTGAGAACGTAGAACTGAGGAGGGAGGTGGGTTAAGAGGAGGTAGAGCCGGGGGGCTGAGTATTTGGTGGGAAGAGGGAGTTCCATTAACGGTTATGTCGACTTCGCCAAACCATATTGATACCAAAATTGATGATTCGGAACATGGCATTTGGCGCTTCTCTCGGATTTATGGATGGTCGGAGTCATCGGAGAAGGAGAGGACGTGGGCTTTGTTGAGAAGGTTGGCAAATCAATGGGAAGGTAGGTGGTTGTGTGGAGGCGATTTCAACCAGGTTCTCCTAGCGCAGGAGAAACGGGGAGGTAATAAGGTTGATGTCGAGGAAATGGAGGGGTTTGCTGAGTGTCTAATGGATGTTGGCTTTCAGGGCCACAGATTCACATGGGAAAACAAAAGACAATCTGGGATACTAGATCGATTTATTGCATCGGACAGTTGGATCACTTAGTTTCAATATCACTTGGTTACAAATCTTGACAAATACCAGTCTGAACATCGCCCGGTAGTTTGTAATACTCTTGGCAAGGAGGAAGACGAGACGAAATGGGGATGGTCTTTCAAATTTGAACCACATTGGGCCAAACATGTAGAATGCCCAAAGCACTTTGAAGAAGCCTGGGAGAGTGGTGCAGGGATTAGGGATGGCAATGGGTCGGGTTGGGGCGGGTTTTGTCAAACCCAAACCCATGGGTTTAACCGCCAAAAAAACCCGGGGTAAAACCCGTTGGGTTTGAAAAACTCAAACCCAACCCAACCCGCTGGGTATCCGTGGGTTCATGGGTACCCGTGGGATTTTGTGCTAAAAATTTACAATAACAAGTTTCATTCAAAATAAAAGTTTAACATCAATTTTCTCATACAAATTAATCATACAAAAAAAAAAATCTAGAGCATACAAGCAAACCGCAAATGATCAATACAAATTGTTCAAAATTAAAGATAAACATATATAAACAATAAGATTAATTGAAAGCTTCTTCCTCGTCAACTAAGTTTCTTCACTCTCCACTCATAATATCAACTTCATTCTAAAAAATTAGAAAGAACAAATTATACATGTCTCCACAAACATATAGAATATTAGTTATTTAAGGAAGATATATTATTTAGAATATTAAATATACGGGGAAAGTAATTATATGTGTGTGGGCGGGTACCCATGGGGCAGGTTTACCTAAACCCAAACCCAAACCGACCCGGTGAATAGTTTAGCGGGTTTAAACCCGAACCCGGCCCAAAACCCGTCAACACGGGTTTTACCCGCGTTAACTGAGTTGGGTCGGGTGGGTACCCGTGGGTTCGGGTTTTGTTGCCATCCCTAGAAGGGATTCCAACGCTTCAAAAACTTGATGGGTGTTGCACGAAGCTGGATGACTGGAGTAAGTGCACCTACCCGCGGTTCGCAAAACAGAAGAATCGAATTAGACGGGCGCTAAGAGCGCTGGAGAGGATGGAGAGAACGACTGAAGTTTTGGCCCAGATAAAACAACTTGAGTCGGAACTTGATGAAGTAGAAGAGAATGAAAAGCAATACTGGAAGCAGAGATCGCGTGCTGACTAGCTGAAAGGAGGGGATCGTAATACTAACTTTTTTCATAGGAAAGCCTCAGCTCGCCGGAAAAGAAACACTATCAAGAAACTGAAGGATGATACCGGTCAATGGTTCTCGGGACTAGAGCAGCTCTTCGCTGTCTTAACTGACTATTTTTCTTCTGTTTTTAAAGTAGGTCCTATCCCCAGTTTGACGCCGGTTTTGGACTCCATCCAGTTGTCGATCATAGAGGCGGATAATGAGATGCTGACTAGGTCGCTGCTTATGGAGGAAATAGTACAAGCCCTTCGACAGATGGGGACCAGGAAAGCCCCGGGTGTGGATGGTCTATCTGTGTTATTTTTTCGGAAGTTCTGGCACATTATCGGGGAGGATATTGCCAATTTGGTTCGGAGATCATAGAAGGAGGAGAGATGCCACCAAACCTCAACCACACGCTAATTACATTGATCCCTAAGGTGAAACTCCCAACCTCTCCGAAGGAGTTTTGCCCTATTAGTCTGTGCAATGTGCTCTATAAGCTGGTGGCAAAGGTCTTGGCAAATCGGCTAAAGCAGGTCTTGGATAAGGTCATTTCACCGTTGCAAAGTGCCTTTGTGCCTGGTCGGTCGATCACTGATAATCTGATGGCGGGTTTCGAATGTTTCCACTCGATGAAGAGGAGGAGTACTTGCAAGGTGGGTTTCCTGGCGGCAAAAATTGATATGGAGAAATAGTATGATCGAGTAGAATGGCACTTCTTGGAGGGGGTTATGCGCCAGATGGGGTTCATAGAGAGTTGGGTTGGGACTATAATGAAATGCGTAAGATCGGTCACTTACTCGATCTTTGATAGACCGTTAGTTACACATGTTTTCACCCCTGTTCTTACACCGTTGGAGATGTGGTTTCTCGTGTTTTAGACCGATTTCACGCTAGGTTGTGCTTGTTTGTGATATTTCAGGTCTTGGCAAGTGAATGAAGGTTTAGGAGCGAGTTCGGGGTCGATTGGGCGAAGATTGGGCACGCGGCAAGTCACAAAGGAGGTCACACAGGCTGCCCTGATGTTCACACGGCCGTGTGAAGGAGTGGTTTGGCCGTGTGACATTCTGCGAGAGCAGACACGGGCAGAGCAGAAGATCGACACGGCCGTGCAAGTGGCCGGGTTGGCCGTGCCACATTCTGCGAGAGCAAACACGGGCAATAAGGGATGTCCACACGGCCGTGCCATTCTGGCCGTGCAAAGAGCCTGGAATTCGAACTAAATGAAACGATGCGTTTTGACTCACACGGGCAACTGGGTGAGCTGCACGGCCGTGCCACCC